TACAATTGTCTTCTATTCAGTCATTTTTAAAGATTTTTTGAAACTGTAAAATAACATCACTCTTTTCATTTATATTTTTAACTTCATTAATACTTTTTAATAAAATAAGCTATTTTCATTAGTCTGTATTAGATTTATATTGATAATTAAAATAATGTAATACTAATTTAGTTATTGATATTATGAAATAATTTTAAAATAAATATTACATATTTTTCTGACTTTTAGTTTTTCCTTTGTCGATATTACAACATACGCAAAACTCTGTTTTGAGGAATCTTTGCTACTTTTGAGGGTAAATGGATTTTTAGACCAAAATGTGTGAGAACGCCAGCACTAAATGAAGCAAGTTTGATTTGAAAATAATGATAGCATCTATCTAAATAGCATATTGTAAGAACTTTAAAAGAAATAAGTTACAAAGAAAGGTAATGAGCTAGAGAGAACACCAATGAATTCCTTTTCATCTTGTTTTCAGTTGGCAACACTTCGAAGTAGAAAAGGTAAAATCTTATTCTTAAGTGACTTTTATATAAGTTTTGTAGCTACTCACGTGAAACAGATTTCACCAGATACTTCAAAACATCAATAGCACTTATACATAGTTAAATATAACTATTTTGATTCCTTAAATCAAGAACTTTTAATGGACTTTGGAACTATTTTTTATCTGTTAACCTCACATTGCCCATGACTAAGTTCCAAATAGAAAATGTAATGAAGGACTGATCTCTAATTTAAGTAACAAATTCTTCTACTTAGAATAAAACATGAAGAATCAGCATGTAAACTATGAATTACATTGTTCAAACGTGTATGTATGTATTCTTAAATTGTATCGGTATTATATTCACACAAATGAACTACTTTTATTACCTTTATCTCATAGAATGACCTCAGTGTTAAAGTTTACACACACACACACACACACGCACACACACACACACACACGCACACGCACACACACACACACAGGCATAATTACATGCTGCTGTATACTGGTTTAAGAATTGGTATCAAAGTTATCTAGCTTTTAAAAAATTAGTAAGAATTTCAAAATACCTATGCTACTTGAATTTCTGTCGCTGGATTATTAAATGATATTGAAACAATTTGGCCATGACTTCTGCTGTATAAAAGCTATAATACTCTTTTATCTCAAATAATGAGATAAAAATAATATTTATTATTAACAAATAATAAATTTAAATGTTAAATGCTCTATTATAGAGGTAAATTGGGTTTAAAATAGAATATTTCAAGCAGAAGAGAAAAAACATATAAGGTTAAACAGAGTGAGGAATCAGTTTCAATTTGTGATGTGAAGCTTGCTAGGGTATGGATTGATCTTTTCATATGCTAAGATAGACCCTCTGGCATGCCCTGTAGAGAATACATATACTGATCTAAAACAAAAATGTAAAACAGCTGTTAAGTGACAGAGAAAATGTTCATTGGACCACCAGACTGTCATATATATTGCACTCTTAATCAGAAAGCACCTGTCTTTTCTTTTCCTTTTCAACAATCTCTGCATTGTATTTAATCTGTACAGAATGCATCTCCCAACAGGTGCAATGGTGTTTATATATCTAAAACTTTATTTAAATGAAGCTTATAACAAGAGATGTTTCAATTAACAGGGCATAGGTTTATGAGAAGGAATCATTCTAACATTTGGCAAATCTATAGATTGTGATGCATTTGTAAAATTTAATTATTAGAAAATTAGAGTATAGATGCCAAGAAAACCTAAGATCAAAGGGGCTTTAAGGAATTTTATGCAATATATTTGCATCCAGAGAAACTACAGGTAAAAGCCAATGGTGGGAATGTGGAAGAACTTGACATATTGGGGACAGATATCACAAAATGTCATGTTTTATTGACATGTCCATATAAAAAGTAGTCTCTGTTGCATTGGTTTATTTTCCTACAGTTCAATTTTTCCTGTATTATCATGATTCGGTTTTTGAAATTGAATATAATAGATCCATGATCAATCTTACTGGACAAAGAACATATATATTGATAGTAATTCTAAGGTTTGTATTACAATCACCCAAATCAGCTTCAAATAGATAATTTATTTAAAACCATGGATATAATCATAAAATTATTGCTCTTACAATATACCACTTTGAAGGTAGAAGCAGCCATAAAATTACTCACTGTAGCTTTTTTTACTAAATGAGCTCTATCCCTACAGGGGCCACGCAGATACTGTAAGTGACACAAGTCTGGTGAAACATGTGACCCTAAGTTGAGTATTCATCTTCTGATCTTTGATAGAAACAGGTGTTGAAGAAAATATTCTTCTTAACTCTGGGATGAACAACATGGCAAGCTAGTGAGCAGTGTCCATTTAATTGACTGTTTCCATGGAGAAAAATTATACAATGTTTGCAGAAATTCGATTTTTCAATAACAAAATACATTGATAGGCTATCTCTTGTCCTTGGGCTTCCAATTTGCCATCTTTGGTATAATAGTTGAGAACATAGACTTACTGTCAAACATAACTTAGATCAACATCTGTCTTGCCCATTATCTTTATGACCTTGGGTGAGTGGCCTTTAAATTCCATTTCATTCTCAGAGTGAATGGAATTAATAATAAAAGCTAATTTATGGAGATGTTTTAATCATAAATGATATAAGAGGTATAAAATACATAGCATGGCAAGTACTCAATGAGTGGTAAATATGCAATAAGTGGTAGATGTTATGGTTTTTTGGTGTTCGTTTTGTTTGAGACAGTGCCTCCTTCTGTCACCCTGGCTGGAGTGCAGTGGTGTGATCTTGGCTCACTGCAACCTCTGCCTCCAGGGTTCTAGTGACACTCCCATCACAGCCCCTTCAATCCCCCTAGTAGCTGGGACACTAGGTGCCTGCAAATATGGCCACCTAATTTTTGTATTATTTTGTTGAAACAAAGTTTCACTGTGTTGCACGGGCTGGTATCAAACTTCTGAGCTCAAGCAATCTGCCCGTCTCAGCTTTCTAAAGTGCTGGGACTACAGGCATGAACCATCTCACCTGGCCTTATTGTTTTTAATAAGATACAGATTTTAAAAAGTGAAGGTCCAGAAATCAATGTAATTGGACTATTAACGTGCAGGGATTTAAACTTTCAGGGCTCCTAATTTCAAATCCACCAAGCTGTTTTCTATATATATTTGTAATTGCAAGTTCATAAAAAAAGCTCTAATTTCCTTACCTGCTTTATGAGTTGACACAGGATAAATATTTTTTACATCATTGATAAAGCCTTTTTTAATATTTATAATTCCCCTTAATAGCTGTATACCAACATCTATTATAGGTTAACATAGAAAGGAAAGGTTACTCTGTTCCTCAGAGAGTTCATACAAAATTATCTCACCTCAAGCATTCATATTTTGTAAGGAACAAATCCATTTTAAAAATTCTTCCACTAAAGCAATATCCACAAGGTCATTTGTTATAAAGCATAGGAGACTCTATTTTAATTACTTTTTTGGAGACAAATAATAAAAATAATTTTTATGGTGGTAGTTATTCTGGGCATAATTTGAAAAACTGATTGGCTCCTTCAGACTGTACCAGTTCTATTGGATAGACTTTAGCCTTAGAATAATGCAGCTCTTCTTAGACCTTCACTGGTTCCCATTTCAAAATCTTCTCCCTATTAACACCTCAGATCCTCCGGCTGATTCCCACCAAATTCTACCTCTTTGCCTCATCAACTTGTTTTTCTCAACAGTTAACAAACTCCTCCCTTCTACTGATGTGTTTGTATCTAAACAGCTTAGAAATTATCCCACTAATATGTTGTACTTACAATCAGACAATACTAATTGCAATCACTACAATGATGAGGCCTTATAATCTGGTCAGCTAAAACCCTCTATATGCATAGTCTCATTTAATCCTCACCACAGCTCTATAAAGTAGACTCCACAAATATACCAAAGCACTTCATTTGTAAAATCATTCTGAAAGATGTTAAATAATTTGTCTAGTAAGTGTCAGAGTCAGGGCTTCCATCTCATTTCCAAGGCTATACTATTCTGGCCTCTCTAAATTCTTGGCTTAAAAACTAAACCAAGATGAATTAGACACATACTAAATAAGAATTCTAACATTTTCTGGGTGGTTGCAGAGAAACATAAAGCTAAATATCACTCAAAGCTATTAAACATTACCTTGCATAGCTGAAGTTGAGCCTATACAAACATAATTTAAGCACCCCTTTTTAGGAAGATCTATATTTGAAGAGCAAGGCATGTTTTACTCTGCTTTCTAACCATTATTTTGTTAATGTAATAATTACCTCACGAAGGTCACCCTAGAGGTTTTCAAATTGCTCCCAATAATGCATAAATAGTTTATAAATGAAGGTAAAATGTCCCAACAGGTTTAGATCCACAGAGAAACAGTTTCCTGAGACATAATTCTGAGAAAGATTAAAAGGATTGAAGTCCAAAAGATGGATGAACAAAGACTTAATTAAGGAGAATCATGCTTTTGTGATATTCTTTGGGGAAAAAGAGCTTCTATCTTCACAAAAAAGTACTATCTTTTTTAAGCATGCAAACCATTGACAAACTTTGAGTAGCTAATCCACCAGACTCATATTAACATACAGAACATGAAATGCATTTTCCTTTGGGCAAGGAGAGGAGAATCTATTGCACATGTCATCTGTTTCTGTGAATACTGAAGATTACAATTATGTTTTGATGTTAATCCAACTACTGCACATTTCTTGTTGCAGAGCACCGTGTGAAAATGTGAGTGACAATATAAATCTTTTTAAATCGAATTCAACACTATTGAAAAGAGCTGATGTTTTCAAATACTATTACAAAGCCTCTGAGAAACAAGAATAACTCTTTAAATGAAGCCGCTTTTCTATAGTGACCTATTTGCTATGAAAATTGAATAGCCAGAATAAAATCAAATTCTGTAGGTCTGCTATATTGTGTGTGTGTATTTTGCATTTTTAGAAACAATCACCTCTAATGTTTTGATGTCCTCATAAGCAAACTGCACGCTGGGAACTCCAAGATGGTTGATGAAATAATCAGCATCACCTTGTATCTGTATAGAACTGATATTGGTTTCTGGGCACTGAGTTCTTCTGGTACAGTTGAAATTATTTTTCTGAAAAACATAATTTAAATTGTTAACACATACTATACTTCCCAGGTCACCCCTAAATCAGTACTACTCAAAACATGGTCCACGGATCAGCAGCATCAATGTCCCCCTGGAAACTGTTAAAAATGAAAATCCTTGACTCCACATGGTCTTGCCTGACAGGGACATTGATGCTAGAGGCCTGGAATCTGCTTTGTAACACTCCTCTTTGATTCTGATGCTCGCAGAAGCATGACTAGCACTGGCCAGAATCAAGGTCTGCTTGCTGCTGTTGCTTCAAAAGCATTTTTATCATAGGTTTAATTTGAACTCTAATGACTCTGACAATATTTAAAGGAATGTTGAGTCTCTAAACAGGTGTAACATTTTGGTTTTTTTTATTACATTTCCCATAAATTTAAAGAATGCTTTGTAGGGTATAATTCTGTTCTTCCTAAAATGTTTATTAAAAACTAAAGAAGAGTCCAGGCATGATGGCTCACGCCTATAATCCCAGCACTTTGGGAGGCTGAGGCGGGCAGATCACCTGAGGTCAGGAGTTTGAGACCAGCCTGCCCAACATGCTGAAACCCCGTCTCTACTAAAAATACAAAAATTAGCTGGGTGTGGTGGCAGGTGCCTGTTATCCCAGCTATTCAAGAGGCTGAGGCAGGAGAATCACTTGAATCCAGGAGGCAGAGGTTGCAGTGAGCCGAGACTGTACCACTGCACTCCAGGCTGGGTGACAAGAGCAAGACTTCATCTCACAAAAAGAAAGAAAGAAAGAAGGAAGAAACTTTCTCCATTTCTTCCTGAAAGCATATTCCTAGATGTCTTAAGATGATATGCCAACAACTGCAGTGGGCCATGGTAAACCACACGGCGAAGTGCAAGCTCTGGGGAACATAAGATGGTATAGGCTATAATTTCTTGAAATAAGGGTTGCCTGGCATGCAAAACAAATGACAGTAGCTTTACAAGAATAAAACAAATATCTAAAACAAACTAAAGGTTTTATAATTAATATTGATTAAAGTGTCTTATTTAATAAATTTCTCAAAAATCTAGAACATTTCTGAGATACAGTGGCCTCAACTATGAAACACTGAAGAATACCAATGGCTTGGACGGCTGTGAGAAAATGAGGCAATAAATAGAAGAACATCATGTCTCGTTTCCGTCACATAAAGTATGTACGCATTCTGTGTTTCCCTTTGAATCAAGACATCAACTTTTCAACCGTTCATGCTTCTTTGGCATGGCATAACTTCAAAAATACTTTTAATCTATGTGAAAGAAAACTGTTAAAATAAGACTCAAGCTCTCCAGGGGAGATAGATGTCCCTGTGGTTAATAGGGAAGATTAAATTTAAAAACAGAAGTAAGTGGCCTTGCTAAAGTGAGAAAGAACAGCCACATTCTTAGAAAAAGCAGCTCCACGAACATTTGCTTTATACCCTGAGCCAGAACAGTTCCTATAACCAGACACAAGAAAAACTGGAGCTGGAAACTGCCCCTCACCAGCCCTTTGAAAGAAAAGTTTGGCAAGAGTTCTGGCGTGGGGCATGGAAAACACCCAATAAAAAATGTCACAGAGTTCTGGTTTGGGGCATAGAAAACACACAATCAGCACTCTACTATTTTGACCAATTGGAACTAAGCAAGTTTGAATCCTTCATTTGTATAAACAGGCCTGATTGAGAGCTGAGGGGGGAATTTTTCCTATTTAAGCTAGACCTCCCTTTGTTCTTCAGAAAACACACTTTCACTTATACTAAAAGCTGTGCCTACCTAGTCTACAGATTGTTGTTTTAATAGAAAAGAACGCTCCACCCTTTTCCTCTGCAGATCATCTTGTCTTTTGCTAACACTTATCAAAAGACTTGAAAATATGTGGTATAATATTAAGAAAATGAGTTAGTCCAACTATTTCAACTATAGTTGTTATAAACATATAATAATATTTCAAGAGCTATCTAATTTCTTTGAAGACCTAATGTAAAGATCTTTGCAACAAAGTTAAACATCAATTAAAGTGGAAAGCCAGCATGAACCTTTACAAGCAAGCCCCAGTTTCAGTTTACAGACAAGAAAGCCTTTCTGTTGAATGTGTTTACAACTTTCTTGGCTGATTAACCACTTTGGAAATAGCAAAAGAATGTTTTAACCATGCAGTCTAATCAGCAGCAACTTAATTCGTTTTATGGTGACTCCCACACCTACCACCAATTTGCTTCTTTTCAAAACTGAATTTTTCGAAAAGGGAGGTAATCGTTTTTCACTTTCTGAGACATTCCTCTGGCTTAAGACTCCTGGAGGTGACATGTTAAGCTGGGACTGTTTAGCAGGCGTCTTGAATAGTCTCAAAGAAGAGCTAGTCTTAAGTATTAGATCATGAAAAACAGATGATTTTCTATCATGTTGTAAATCCCAAGAGCCTCTGGAGGTATTTGTTTAGCTAGATTTTTGTTGTTGTTTGTTTTTAAGTTGAATTTGAATGCCTAGGGCAAGCAAGCCATGTCTTAACGTTCATCACTAGTGTCTCACACTCAGCCTGCTCCACTCATTCAGATTTAAGAACTGGGCCCGAGCCGTTGAATTTGTGAAACCTAGATTGTTGCACCATTTTAAGTCATTAATGAGGATATGATAGGATCTGGTGTTTACTTTCTCCAGATGCCTGACTAATGAAAGTAAAAACCATTTTTAAATTATCTACTTTCTCTTTAGTGAAGCAACACATATATCCTTTCAAGACAGAAAAAGCGTCCTACTCAACATAAATGAAAATATCCGTTTGGCTTTAATTTCATTTTGCATATATTTAACTTTTAATATCCAGCCCAATTCTCAGCCACGCTCCTTAGATCGAAATTTTTTTCTCAACAGAGAAATGGCATGGTCAAAAATTAACAATTTCAAATTCTACAGTATGTGCCTGTTAAAAATTATTTTTTTAAAAAAATAAACATTGCATTTAAGTTTAATATTTGATATTTTCATTGTCATCATTAGTTGTATAAACATTTAGTTATACTATAGCTGCCCTCTGACAAAAGATGTTAGTTTCTCATATGTGCAAGTTTCTAATATGGCACAAATGACCCCACTCTAATCAATCCTTGTCATTGTTTTTTTGACTTTTTTTTTGTCTTTTAAGATGAAGTCTCACTATGTTGCCTAACGTTGTCTAGGCTGAGCTCGACCTTCTGGGTTTAAGTGATCCTCCCACCTCAGTTTCCTGAATAGCTGGGACTGCTGGGCCCAGCGACTTGATTTGTTTGCTCTGACAGTTACACAGAGCACAATTCTGCTTTAGCCTCAGCCTACCATTTTTGAACCCACTATGAATTCTCTTCTAGTCTTTCTGTTCTTTTTATAGCTACTGTCATACAGCTTTAATATTTTCATTGCATTCCATTTCCATGGTTTCCACTAAGTACATTATTATTTACATATTTCGTATTTTTCAGGAAATCAAAAGGGCAGCATTCAGCTTTCAGGATTACATTCCCCCAAAACACTTTGCATTCTTCTTCCTGCTATAGTTTGCTCTGTCGTGCCTATTTATTTAAAAGTCTAACTTTTTCCCTAAAAGTTTCTATTTCTGCCTCTGCCACATAAAAACATTTTTTTTCTAAACCGACTAAGATGGCAACAGAGTGAGCATTGTCTAGAAATGTCTTACAATTTTACTTTAGGGTTAAGATCTATTAAACTACATCTCTGCTGCTAAATGTGGACCATTTATGGAGAGGGGACAGCATACAGAAAAGAGGGTGGAGTGACCCAAGAGAGAGCTGCCAGCACTCCACTTTTGAGCCTCATGTCATAATCAGGCCCAAAGGGAGGGAAAATGCTTCAAGAAAGCCAAACCAGGATAGGGGCTTCAGGGACAACACAGCTTCCTGAGTAATATTCCTGGAGCTTCTCACCTACTGAACCCAGTTTCTCTGATGGCCTTGTAGAGGACTTAATTTACCATCCCCACCTCACCCTACTCCACACACAACCCTCTCTCCTCCTTTCTCTTTCTGTGACCTCATTCTTTACTTCTTACTCTCAGTAATTTAACCAGTGATGAGAAGAAGCCTGGTACCCTCAAGCCTGTGTTCAGTCTGTCCTTTCATGCTTCTGTTTCTAACTAGCTTCAAAGTTAAAAAGTCAGATAACCAAATGTGTCCATATAACCCAAAAGCCAGGAACCCAATTTGCAGATTTGAGGGGTTTTCCCGCCCCCAACCCAGGTAATTTTCTCTAAGAATTCCCCTTAAGAGAAAAACATTCCTGGCATAGAAACACTATTCTCTAAATCTAAATCTTCATTATTCATTACTTTAAGGTAATGAATTTAAGGCCAAATTCAGACCTGAAGGGATTGTAAACCTATATTCAATCCTAATGTGAATTGTTTTTCCTCACAGCACTTCAGTGGATTATAATACATCCATGTAAGGTAATAGACATTGATCTACTCGACCCTCATAAGCATTAATATCTGTGAGACAAGTAGGAAGAAATGCTAATTTTCTTCATTTTACTAGAAGTTAAGCACCATGGAAGAGGGAGGTTGGCAACACATTTGTGCAGGTCGATTAATTTTTTAAATTTATTTACAAGGCTGAGTAAATTCATATTAAGAATTTCATCCAATGAGTTCAAAATGCCTCATATTTAATGTTTGGTAACAAGCATTTTTATTCCAGTTCATAAAATGAACAATTTCAGCAAGGATCGTGGTTACGTCACTAGCTTAATTTTCCACCACAAGTCCATAGAAGATCTGAAATGAAATCACCACCTCAGTCCTAAATCTGCCTGCTCTTTGCAAGTACAGTTTTAAGCTGAAAGGCAAAACTTCATAATAAATGATCACGTAAGTGAGATTAAAAATATTGTCAATATTCGCATTACTTAAATAGTGATGCCAAGACACATTGACAAGTTTCTAAAAGTATTTTAAAAATCTGTTTAATGATTCAAATGTTTTATTTCCCCACATTCTGCCTTCTCCTGCATACATA